GCCTCCCAAAGGCCTTGCTTCTTAAGCTGTCCCCTGGGGAACTAAGATATCAGCGCACAAATTGGCCCAGGGATGCACATTTCACACCCCCTAGCAGACATTTTTGCAGACCATGATCATTATAACTTGTCAGATTTTAAGAGTTCAGGGGAGCTGGGCGGTGGTGGTGCAGGCCTTTAATCCCAGCACTCAGGAGGCAGAGGCAGGTGGATCTCTGTGAGTTCGAGGCCAGCCTGGTCTAGAAGAGCTAGTTCCAGGAGAGGAACTAAAAAGCTACAGAGAAACCCTGTCTCGAAAAAATCAAAAAAAAAAAAAAGAGTTCAGGGGAAATATTAAAATTTTAAGCATGCTTCCACTACAAACAAGTTAACTTGATTCCCTGGAGCCAGCTGTCATTTACACCATCCTCCTTGCCAGCTTTGTCCTTGACTTTACTCCTTCTGTCCCTTTCCTCCTCCCACCTCCTCTTCATCATCCTTGCTTCCCTCCCTCTGGCTTTCTGCAGCCTCCTTCTAGCATCCCAAGGGTTGATGACCCTCTGAAATCCTTTTGCTCTGTTACCCATTCCCCAGGCTGTAGGAGGAAATGAGTCACTCCACTCTAAGGCTAGCAGACATCCTTGGTTCTTGGCCCAAACCCAAGGGTTCTTTTTCTAATTTAGAAAATAATATATGCGGTTGTATAGTTTATAGCTTTTGGACACTTTTACTTATTTTTTGTGTGTGTCTAAGTCTTCTTGTCTATTAAAGAAGTAGTATCAACCACCTCCTGAGATTGGTATGCACATATGAACTATTTAGAGAACATAGACTGAAACATGTAAACCCTTGCATTTATTATTATTATGGATTGACCCATGACCTTGCTTGAAAGAGACTCCTGGTACTTACATTACAGAAACAATTTAGCAAGTGTTTATTAGCCACGGGGGCCAGATAGTGTGCTAGGCAGATCACAGACAGGAAGCAAAAACTAATGCTAGCTTCCATGAGCACTGTTTGGTCTATTGATAGTGCCAATGGCAAGGAATAGCTATTTTTCTAGATGATCTTTTATTATTTTCTCTATTAGCTTTCTTTGTTGATTTGACACTGGGTCTTGCAAAGTAACCCTAGCTGACTTGAACTTGCTGTGTAGTGCAGGCTGTCTTCTAATTTGTAGCAACTCTTTCCCTCTATCTCCTGGGTTCTGGAATTACAGATTTGCGCCAACAGGTTCCAGGTTCCACTGGTGTGTGTGTGTGTGTGTGTGTGTGTGTGTGTGTGTGTGTGTGTGTGTGTGTAATCTGTTAAGACATCTCACCAGATCTGTTTATTTTTGAATGCCAAAAAGCATTTTACCTTGACTTGACCTCTCTCTCTCTCTCTCTCTCTCTCTCTCTCTCTCTCTCTCTCTCTCTCTCTCTCTCTCTCTTTCTCTTGTGTGTATGTGTGTGTATGTGTGTGTGTTATTTTTGAGAAAGGACCTCTCTGTGAGCTCAGCCTGTCCTGGGACTCAACATATAAATAAGTCTGGCCCTGAACTTAACAGATCTGCCTGCCTCTGCCTCCTGAGTGCTGGGATTAAAAGCGTCCACCACCACTGCCTGGCAGAGACAAACTTTTTAAATGTTCTCACCAGATAATAAAGAGCACCTCCTAAAACAAAATGTGAAGTTCCAATATAAATGACTCGTGAGAGTCAATAAAAAAGAGGGGGTAGATCTTAAGGAAAATTACCTAAAAAATAAAGAACTTTTTTTTCTTTTTTATCATTTCCACCTAAACAGAGACATCTTTGTTTGTATAGTTACAAGTACTATCTCTCCTGGAGAATGCTCAGCCCCCAGAATATGAAAATGGAAACATGGAGAACATACAATACAGATATTTGAAACTCTCTTTCTTAAAGTAGTCTGTCTTAGTCAGTGTTCTATTGCTGTGAAGAGACACCATGACCACAGCAGCTCTTATAAAGGAAGTCATTTAATTGGGGTGGCTTACAGTTCAGAGGTTTAGTTCATTATCATCATGGTGGGAAGTATGGCAGCATGAAGGCAGAGATGGTGCTGGAGAAGGAGCAGAGAGTTCTACATCCAGATCCACAGGCAGCAGGAAGAGAGAGACACTGGGCTTAGAATTGACTTTTTGAAACCTCAAAGCCCTCCCCCAGTGACACACTTCCTCTAACAAAGCCTCTTAATCTTTTTAAATAGTACCACTTCCCAGTGACTAAGAATTCAAATCAATGAGCCTGTGGGAGCCATTCTCATTCACACCACCACATGGTCCTTTGAATTTATGTTTCAATATGTGACAAAATTACTAGAAATAGAGAGAGTATCCGACCATACAGCAAGCACAGCTCTGATTCACTGTCTGAACATGGATGAGAATCTATGTCTGAAATTCCTAGCACAGGAGGCATGAAGCAAATGAATTTCAAAGACAGAGTACTTGGCAAAGGAGTTTATTCTGGCATCTGCTCCCTGCCTTGTGCAACTGTAAGGGCAAGACCCTAAACATAGATCTCATCCTGCTTTGGTTTCATCATCTGTCGACTTGGAGAGTTCTAATTCCTCTTTATAGTCTTCTCTCGTGGATAGTGAGATCTGGTTGCAGGAAAGTGCAGAACTCGGGAAAACAGAGCTACGTAGTCTGAAGCATTAAAAGTTATCCATATTCAAGCGTTTTACTTCATTTTTACCTGTGGCTTCTGGGAGTAGCTTTATTCACCCATGCAGAGTACCTCCATTCAAAAACTCTTTTTATTATTGTTTGTTTGTTTGTCTTGAATAATTTTGTTTTGCTTTATTTGTTTTGAGACAGGTTCTGTCTACATAACCCTTGCTGTCCTGGAACTCACTCTAGAGACAAGGCTAGCCTCACACTGACCAAGATCTGTTGGGGAAGCTGTTACTTCGTTCCCACCTGCCCAGACCATGAAATAATCACTCAGAAACTATACTGTTTGCAATACTGTTTGGCCAATAGAATAGCTTAAGTGAATTACTAGCTCGCTCTTATCCTAAACTATCCCATCTCCATTATTCAGTGCATCACCATGAGCACAGTTTCACTGGGCTCCAGCAGAAGTGTCTGTCTCCAGTGGCAGCTACATGGCTTCTCTCTTGACTCTGCCTACTCTCTATATATATCTTTTCCAGCATCAATATTTTTTTGAGCTTTGGCTGAAAGCAGCTTATTCTTTTTTTATATTTTCTTTTTGTTTGTTTTTTTTTTCTTTTGAGACAGGGTTTCTCTGTAGCTCTGGAGCCTGTCCTGGAACTAGCTCTTGTAGACCAGGCTGGCCTCAAACTCACAGAGCTCCACCTGCCTCTGTCTCCTGAGTGCTAGGATTAAAGGCATGCACCACCATTGCCCGGCTCAGCTTCTTTATTCTTTAACCAATAAAAGCACCACATATACACAAGGACTTCCCACACTATTCCTCCTTTTCTGTTTAAATAAAAAGAAAGGTTTTAACTTTAACATAGTAAAATTACATGCAACAAAACAGATATCAAGCAAGAATTACAGTTACAATATTTATATCTACTTTATCTTTTATCATAACTAAGGAAAACTGTAACTATCTATTCTTTAACTCCATCAAAGACTGCAGAAGAATATAATATTACCTAAGTTAACAGGAAGTGCATTGGAAGCAACTTCCAAAACTCTAGAATTGACAGAGACATCTCACTGCCTGGACATCACCCAAAGTTTTTTTGTAACGTTGTGGGCACCCATCTTCAGCTTACTGGCCCATAGTATCCAGCAGACTTTTCCATGAGGCAGGAAATCCAAAGATCAGATCTGTTTTGCCTTGTAATGGCTAAGTTCATCAGTTGCTCCCCCAACAAATTGGCACCCAACAGGGATCCACTTGCCTCTGCCTCCCAAGGGCTGGGATTAAGGGTGTGTGCCACCACTCCTGCTCGCTCTCTTTCTTTAGATTAATTTACTAGATAGCAAATTTCCTTATGACTTTTCCAAATATCCTTGGTTTTAGTTGAATCTCTTCTCCCCATCTCCCCGCTTAAACTTTTCTATTCCTAATATCCATCCCATCAACTTTCTTAGAACATTTTCATAGGACATCTGTTCTACTGTGCTCCTGCCTGCCTCTGCCTCCCAAGTGCTGGGATTAAAGGCTTACACCACCACCGCCCTGCTCTGTGCTCCTTTCTTGAAGCTTCCCCTCCCTCTCCTGGCCTGCTTCCAGCTTCCTGTCCTCTAGATACACTTAACTACCACATAAACAGGTACATAAAACATCAAACTCAGAAACTAGGATCTGAATGAGAAACAGCATGCACTGTTTGTCTTTCTGAGCCACGCTCACCTCACTCAATACATTTTTCAGTTCCATTCTCTAGCCTGAGAAGCTCATAACTTCGTTTTTCTTTGTGGCTGAATACAATCCCATTGTTGTATATGTACCACATTTTCATTATGTTTTTCAGACAAGGTCTCATTTAGCCTAGCTGGTTTTGAACTTCTATGTATTCCAGACTAGCTTTGAATTAATGATCTGCCTGTGTCAAACCCCACAAGTACCAGAATCACAAGCATAAATTACCATTCCCAGGTAGGAAATCTTTTTTATTTAATAGCTTTTAAAATTGTCAGTGTTCCAAAGAAATTAAGAGTATAAGATTAATTTCAGTCTTTGTAAGACAACTTAATATAATAGTCTTCTCAACAACCTCTGTATTCAAGTTCTCCTGAGTACTAGAACCAAGAATATGTGTGTATATATGTGTGTGGAAAGACCAGGAGAAAGAGAGACAAGAGATATTGAGGAATTGGCTTACTTGAATATGGAGGCTTAGTTAGGCCAAAATGGATAAACCAGCAGGCAAGAGACAGGTAAGAGTTGTTTTTTTTTTTTTTAAAATATTTATTTATTATGTATACAATGTTCTGTCTGTATCCCTGTAGGCCAGAAGAGGGCACCAGACCTCATTACAGATGGTTGTGAACCACCATGTGGTTGCTGGGAATTGAACTCAGGACCTTTGGAAGAGCAGGCAATGCTCTTAACCACTGAGCCATCTCTCCAGCCCCAGGTAAGAGTTGTAAATGGGGGAAAAAGAAATATTTTCTTTATCCATTTATCATTTAATGGGCACTTCAGTTGATTTTATGTCTTGGCTATTTCAAATACTACTGCAGTAAACATGGGAATGTAGCTATCTCTTGGACGCACTATCTTTATTTCCTTTGCATACATACCCAGTATTGGAACTGCTAGATTATGTGGCCGTCTAAGTTTTGTGGAACCACCATATTATTTTCCCTACTAACCAACCTAAGTTGCATTCCCACCAAGAATACAAAGGCACACATTTTCCCATGCCCTTGTTAACAATTGTGATGGCCATTCTAGTAAGTATGGAGCAATATATCTCATTGTGCTTTAAATTTACATTTCCCTTATGAGCATTTTAAATATATTACCTATTGGCCATTTGTGTGTCTTTTGATGTCTATCTATTTAGGTCCTATACCTGGTCTTCAGTCAGATTATTTGCTTTCTAGCTTTTGAGTTGAGTTTTTTGTATATTTTGAACATAAACCTCCTACCAGATGCACAGTTTATAAATATTTTCTTCCATCCTACCTGTTATTCATTCTATAGATTGTTTTCTTAGCTGTGCTGTTTAGTTTAATATGATCCTTTTTGTCTTATTGTTTTGGTTGCCTGTGCTCTGGAAGCTGTATTAAAAGAAATCATTCCCAGATGTGGTGATTTGAATTTAATTGCCCCCCATAATTTTATAGGGAGTAGCACTATTAGAAGGTGTGGCTTTGTTGGAGTAGGTATGGCCTTATTGGAGGAAGTGTGTCACTGGGGTCAGGCTTTGAGGCTTTCTATGGTTAGGCTACCACCCAGTGTCTCAGATGACTTCAGTTGCCTCAGAGACAAGGACTCTCCGCTCCAGCACCACATCTGCCTGCATGCCACCATGCTCCCCATCCTGATGACAATGGACTGAACCTCTGAAACTATAAGTGAGCCACTACAATTAAATGTTTTTATTTATAAGAGTTGCCGTGGTCATGGTGTCTCTTCATAGCAATAAAAACCTAAGACGCCAGACCAATGGCAATAGAGCAAATATTTTCTGCTGGTAGCTTAATCATTCCTGGACTTACATTTAAGTCTTTAATCCAGTCCATTTTCAATTAATTTCTATATATGACTATAAAATGAGTCTCATTTCATCCCTAGATCATATGATTCTGTTTTCACTATTTATTGAAAAGATCATCCCTATATTGCATATTCTTGGCTACTTTTTGGAAAATCAGTTGGCTATCAACGTGTGAATTTATTTCCAGGTTCCCTGTTCTTTCACATTCGTCTCTCTTTTTGCATGCTACTTTGGTAAAAATAGCTTTCAAGTCCTGTTATGGTACCTCTGGATTGCTTTGACTACTCAGGGTCTTTTCTATTTCCATATGAAGTTTAGAACTTTTTTTTTTTTTTTTTTTAGTTCCTGTCCTGGAACTAGCTCTTCTAGACCAGGCTGGCCTTGAACTCACAGAGATCCGCCTGGCTCTGCCTCCAGAGTGCTGGGATTAAAGGCGTGCACCACCACCGCCCAGACTGAAGTTTAGAATTTTTGTTTTTCATTTTTTTTTTTTTTTTTTGAGACAGGGTTTCTCGTAGTTGTGGAGTCAGTCCTAGAACTAACTCTGTAGGCCAGGGTGGCCTTGAACTCACACAGCTCTGCCTGCCTCTGCCTCCCAAGGGCTGGGATTAAAGCAACCACTGCCTGCCTTGTTTTTGTTTTTTTGAGACTGGGTTTCTTTGTAGCTTTGGAACCTGTCCTGGAACTTGCTCTGTAGACCAGGCTGGCCTCACACTCACAAAGATCTGCCTGCCTCTGCCTACCAAGTGCTGGAATTAAAGATGTATGCCACCACTGTCTGGTTCCAAATTTAGAATACTTTTATTTTTTATTTTTATTTTTTTAGAATACTTTTCTATTTCTATGAAGACTGTTATTGATATTTTGATAGAGATTGCATTGACTCTATAGATGAATCTATGTTGGATGGACATTTTAATAGTATTTTTCCAATCCATGAATATGTGATATCTTTCCATTTATTTGTCTCATGCCTACCATTTGTGTTTTGTATTTATTTTTACAAATAGTTTGCTTCTTTAAATTTATTCCTAAACACTTTTTCTGGAGCTACTGTATGAGATTATTTTCTTGCTTTGTTTTTCAGATAGCTCCCAGTTAGGGCACAGAAACACTAATGATTTTTATGTTTTTTTTTTTAATCCTAAATTTCTACTTTATTCTAAAAGCTTTTATCCCTCTGAGGGGTACCTTTAGCATTTTCTACATGGAAGTCTACATAGTCTACAAACAAGGAAATTTTAACTTCTTCCTTTTTAATGTCAGTGGATTCTTTTTCTCCCTTTTTCTTCCATAATTTCTGTTTCCAACTTCTATTACAATGCAGCTACTAGAGGAAAAGCTTTCAAATTTTTTTCTGTTGAGTATGATATTAACTGTGGGATTTTTTTTCCTATTAGTGGATTTTACTGTGCTGAGGCGCACTGCTTCTATACCTAATTTGCTAAATGTTTTTGTCAAGAATGAATGTTGAATTTTGTCAAATTCCATTGCTGTGTCTATTAAAGGGATCATATAGTATTTACTTTATTCTGTTAATGTGATATATTACAATTATAGATATTCGGATGTTGAAAGACATTTGCTTTTCTAAGATGAATCCAACCTAACCAGGGCAAATCATCTTATAAAATGTATCACATTTTGTGTCTTCACTCATGTATGTGTGTGGGTATGAGCATACACACAGCTTGTCAGGCCTGATGGACAGCACCTTTACCCAGGGAGTCATCTCACAGGCCACATCATCTGGTTATGCTATGTGTCCTACCACTGAGTTACATGCACAGCACACATTTTACAGATGAAAAAAATAGGTTAAAAATAAAATCTATCATTTTAAAGTTTTATTCCAGAGCCGGCAATGGTGGCACATGCCTTTAATCCTAGCACTCAGGAGGCAGAGGCAGGCAGATCTCTGTGAGATTGAGGCCAGCCTGGTCTACAAGAGCTAGTTACAGGACAGGCTCCAAAACCACAGAGAAACCCTTTCTCGAAAAACCAATAAGTAAAAACAAACTTTTATCCCAGTGGTCTTTAATTAACTTTATATCCAAAAGGAAGAACTTATCTGAAATCTTATATTGATTCTAAAATCAATAAAGGACACTACCAAAACAAAAAAGAAAAACAGAAAATCTGGACAGATCAATGAGTAAGGAATTTGAGTCAATAGTAGAATGTCTCCCATAATGCAAATTCAAGAACTTTATATTTGAGGCCTTGAGTTCTACCATTAGCAGCGAAAGATTTATTTCTTCTGCACACAAAAGCATTCTTCAGGGCCCGTAAGATGGTTCAGCAGGTAAAGGTGCTTGCCACCAAGCCTCACAATGAGTTCCATCTCTGGGACACACATTGTGAAAAGAGAGAACCAACTTCCTAATCTGTGTCAATAACATGTACTTCTCTCCACAGTATGATTAAATAATTTATTGCAGTTAAAATTTTCTATTTCATTTCAATAATTTCTATTTCCTAAGACATGGTTCTTCAGCTGCACTATTTTAGCAAATTTTGATCACATTTGATTATAAAATGGACTATTAATACTGTTGCAAATAAAAAGTATAAAATATTTCAAATGGTAAATAACTTTACTGAGATAAGGTCTGTAGCCCAGGCTGATTTAAAACTTGCAGCAATTCTCCTTCCTCAGCCTCCCAAGTGATGCAACTAAATGCAGGAACCACCAAACCAAGCTGTGATTTCCTTTTTTAATAAATAAGAAAGCATATGGTGGCACGGAGATGCAAATAAATGCATGTCTCAAACCTTACCAGAGGAGCTTCTATTTGCAGTAAGTAGATGGCGACTAACACGAAGACCCACAAATGGCCAAAGGCACAGAGACTAAGACCCTGCAGAATGCTCAGCCCCAATGCAATAGCTATACTGAACAACCCCTCCCCCACCAAAGCTCAGGGATCACTGTAGAAGAAGGGGTAGGAAGAATGTAAGAGCCAGTGGTGTGAATGAATGAAAACAGTAGCTTCCAAACACATAGAAGAGCTGCACACACAAACTCACAGTGTTTGTGAGAACACATACAAGCCCTGTGCAAGCTCAAGCCATGTCAAATCCTGGAATGAAGAAGGAAGGTAGACATGAAGTCCCACCCTACCTGAGCAGCTACTGGCAAATGATAGCTGCTGGGAAAAAAGAATCAGTTTTCTTTAAGAGTGCTGTCCCTGTTTAGTTGACCATACTCCAAAGGAAGGCCACACGTCCACATCCATAAATACCTGTACTCAATTGGCAGGAAAAAAAGGGGGGGCACAAAATTAGGTGAGTAGGGAAGAGGTAGATGTAGAAGTAGTAGGAAGGGTTAAATATGGTCAAAACTTATTGTATGAAATTCTCGAAGAATTTAGAAAGAGAAGGAAAAGAAGAGAAAGGATTTGATATTATCCCTATAATAGTTTTATATATATATATATACATATATATATATATACATACATACATACATACATACATACATTTTGGTTTTTCTAGACAGGGTTTCTCTGTAGCTTTGGAGCCTGTCCTGGAACTAGTTCTTGTAAACCAAGCTGGCCTCGAACTCACAGAGATCTGCCTGCCTCTGCCCAAGTGCTGGGATTAAAGACGTGCACCACCACTACCTGGCTGTATTTCTATATCTTGCACTGCTTTGGAGAGACAAGGAATAGTAGGAATGATACACATCTTGAAGCAGCCTTCCTTTAACTCACTGCCAGTTAATATTGATCAACTTTCAGGAATGCTTCTTGCAAATGAGTATCACCCATTCTCCAACTTCAATATTTCTAAATGAAGTAATTATCCACAGTAAGCTAAAAAGCATCAATCAACTCTTCACAAGACTCATTTGTGTCTCTAATCTGTTCAGAAATTTTTGCCTGTTCTCCACCCAAAAATCAGTTATTTT